AGCAAGAGGAGGAGGGAGGGGGAGAGGTTTGACATACCTGAGTGTCCTCACAAGTCAAAGAGCCAAGGCAAGGTCACCTCTGGCCCCTGGCTGCCTCTGTGGATTAGCCTGTTCTGGGTGTTTCTGAGTTACACAGCTGACCTTACATGACTGGCTCCTCTAGGCTGTCCACCCTGTGGCACCTGTGGGTAACCCTATGGATGGATGTGCCGCACTGCCTCCTTCATAGGGCACCTGTGAGTTTAGGAGCCATTGACCGGCGTTGTGCCATGTTGCTGCAAACTGGGCCTAGGAGTCTTTGCTCTTTTTTAGACACCACGCAGTGGATTTCTAGTTTGTACGGCGAGTGGACCCAATTCCCCACAGGCTTCCCATGGTCTTGATTGTTCTTGTACACATACAGCCACTCTGGTGGGTATGAGACACCTCGTCTGCTCAGGTCAGGAGCTGTTTAGCAAGTCCCTATGGCAGTGACGTGTGACACTGACCATCTTCTCTGCTCCATCACTTTCTTATCATCTTTGGAGAAGTGGCTAGCCAAGTTGCCCCACCCCCACCCATGTGTCTTTACATACATGTGCAGAGGTGTGTGGCTGTGTGCACCTGCACTCAGAGGCCAGAGGAGTACATGAAACCATGCTCGGCTTGTTACATGGGTGTTAGGATCTGAACTCAGCCCCTCTGGGTGCACAGCAAGCCCTCCTAAGCTCTTAAGAGATCTTAAGATCTCTCCAACCAATTTCTTCTCTTTTTTAAAGACATGCCTACTTGGTGTCATGATCAAACCAGTACACTTGTCAATCAACTGACTGAAAAAACCTGACGTTGAAACACTTGGAGGCCGGTGGTGGTGGCACACACCTTTAATCCCAGCACTTGGGAGGCAGAGGCATGTGAATCTCTGAGAGTTCGAAGCCAGTCTGGTCTACAGAGCTAGCTCTAGGACAGCAAGGGCTACACAAAGAAACCCTGTCTCAAAATACCAAACCAAACCAAACAAACACACAGAAATAGTTGGTTGAGAGTTACATGCTTCCCCCGGAACAGAAGCAAACACCCTGTTACACAGCCTGTCACAGGTACTGTCCTGAGTTCACAGTCTTGTTCCCTGTCACATATCTAGCCTTGCTGGCCTGCTAGACTTTGTTTCCAGACAATGGTTAGAACCTTCTGCCCCTTCAGTAGCACTGCAGCTGCTGGGGCCCATTGCAGCCACCTTGGTTTTATGGTTTTGCAGAGTGTTAGGAACCTCCACATCACAGGGCCAGAGCTCCTGCCTCCAGAGTCCTTCATGGGTCCAAAGTCTGAAGCTTGAGTTTTGTGATTTCTACCTCCAGAGGTGTCACCACCTACACAGTCGCCTCTACTGCCATTGCAAAACTTCCTTTCTGTCCCCCATTGTTAAAGCTGTCATAGCCACTCTCTCCATACCCCCATCCGCCATTACCATAGCCTCTGCCTTCTCCAGAGGAACCAGGACTACCTCTCCCAAAACCACCATCATTACCAAACTCATTAGAGTCATCAACACTGCCACTATATCCACCAATACAATGGTCCCTGTCATTTCCTTCATGACCAAGATGGTCATTGCCACCCAAACCGCCTCCACAACCACCACCAGAGTTTCCAGAACCATGTGGGTCTACAGGAAGCACTGGACATCTCGGGTGTGAACAGGGTTCACTTCCCAACCTTCTCTCTTCCCTGCGTGGCAGCCACTCTCAAGCTGGCTGCTCACAGTGTGGCATTTCTGAACGACAGCCTCATCCACAGAGCTGTGGTCCTCCGAGGTAATGAACAATGCTGTCCTTTCTCCTGCTGCCATCACGGTTCCAATCGCTTCACTTCCCCTGGCTGTACAAAAATAATCTCTAGGTGGCTTTCCTCAGTGGTGGGCAGGGTGATGGCCGGCAGGTTATGGCAGGACTGACAGCTGTAAGGACAGAGGTGGCCAGGGTGTGTTTGGCTGTGGTCATAGAAGGAAAGCTCCTTCCCACGGTTAAGTGGGCACCTCGTCTTTGAGAATCTTCTCTCAGCTGCCTTTGGTTTCACTGTTCTTTTAGGCACATTACGTGGCCTTTCATTCATGGCTTCATCCGCCTCCTGCCCTGTGGCAGTGAGTGTTCTCTGTGGTTCCTCAGATATTCAGAGATGGTTTAAAGCCCCACCCTGACTTGGATCTGGCAGCAGGGAGATGAGAACTTTCAATAACACTTCCTCAGCATCATCCACAGGCAAAAAGGGCTGTTCCTTTCTTCTCTGGGTGGTGTATCATTGAATGGCAATGGTTCTTTACATATTCTGGATCCCATGCCCTTACTGAATCTATGTCTTGCAAAGCTATCCTCCCCTTCATCCGCTTGTCTTCTTAGCCTCCTCCTGTGCCCTTTGCTGAACAGGAGCTTTTGGCAGGTCTTGCTGAAGTCTGCTTTCCGATTGTCCTTCTTTTGTTTATGGTTTGGTTGTCCACTCTAAGTCTTCATCCAGGCTAATAAGGGCTCTGTGCGAGCTTTTCTCTTGACAGTTGTGCTGTTTTGGATCTTGTAGTTAGGTCCTCTGTCTGTTTATGAAACTCTTAGAGTTGAGTGTCCATATGCACACTTACATGCAGAGAGGAGCGGCCATGTGCACCTGGACACACTTCCACCATACAAGCTAGGCCCACAAACACACCCAGCCTCTGTGGACTTTTTCCAGTCACCCCAGGACAGTCATCACCCTCTCAAACGGACCCAATAAACCTGGGTCCAACTCCTCTGTGTTGGCTGTTCTTCTCTAATGTTCAGACTGTCTGCTCCCTCTCTGTCTTTGTTCAGGGCATGAGGGTTGAGGGGACATGTGAATATGTGATCTGCACCCTGGAGTCGAGGACTTTGAGGTAGGATTGGGAGGCCCAGTCTGAAATGTGTGCACTTGGGGCCTGCTGGACTTCTATCCCAGCTCTGCTGTGTCTGCCCACCAAATGGCCCTGCTCAAGTCTCCTTCTGCCCCATAGCTTTTATGACAGTGAAGGCTGAAATGCACCCACAGTGTATTATATAAAGGAACTGAACCCCTAGTATGTGTGGAACTGTGTAGTGTGTGCGTGTGCATGTGCACGTGTGCGTGTGTCTGTGTGTGTGTGGGCGCGCGTGCGTGCGCGCAGTGTGGCAAGTCACAGGGATGGCAGCAACTGTTACAGAGGGAAATCCCGTCTGTCTCTCTCTGTTGCTTTGTCTCTCTCTTTCCCTCTATCTCCCCAATGTGTTTATATCTCTATGTATGTCACGTGTGTGGCATGCCTGAAGAGGACATAGGATAATCTGGAGCTGGAGTTACAGGTAATTGTGAGCTGTCCAGCGTAGGTGCTGGGAACCGAACTCAGGTCATCTGGAAGATCAGCAAGCTCTCTTAACCACTGAACCATCTCTCCAGCCCTGAACCTAGTATCTCAGAAACTCTTTCCATCAGTGTTCTATGTCCCTTTAAATTCACAAGTGGACACAGGGCTTACTTACCCTGGGGCTGTCACAGGCCTGCTGGGAGGACTTGTGGGGAGCAGGGGGAAGGAAGGAAGGTCATGAACTGGGGAACATCACCTTTGGCTATCAGCTGACTTTTCTAAAATTACAGAGTGGTTTTCAACCTTTGCTCAGAACTCAAAACACAGCGTTCCCCTGCCCACTCACTGTTCTCTATTGTAATCACCAAAATGACTTGGACCCTTACCCTGTCATTCAGGCTGGCACTGGGTATGGCCACTGCCCATGAAGCAGTTCAGTCCTGGAAGGGCCCAGGCACCAGCCTTGCCAGCAAAGCCCAGTGTGTTCTGGGAAGAAAAAGCCTGGATATTCGCCAAGCTGTGAGGGTCAGAAGGGATGAGATTAGGGGGTGTCAGGAAGACTCCTATGAAGGAGGTGGCTTTGGGAGCAAAAAGGCCATTTGGTGAGGCTGGGAGGTCCAGAGGAACCCGGGTGGCAGGGTTAACATGAGCAGGGGCCTTGACTGGGGTCAGCCACCATGGTTGGGGTCTCTCTTCTCTGCCTTGAAGATCCTTTGGCCCGAGACGAGCATGGATGGGAGCTGAGCTGATAGCCAGGAGGAAGTACAGAGCAGCTGGCAAGGCCCACACGGGAGAGTCTTGATTCTCCTTTCCCATAAGGAGGGGCTTTGGCCTAGTTTTTCCAAGGGAAAACAGGCAGAGGTAGCGAGTGAGATAAGGTGCTCTTAGCCCCCCCCCCCACACACACACTTCTTATTCAGGAAGGTGCCAATTAAGATTCAAGTTCAGAAGCGGGCGTGGAGCCTCTTCCCGTTTTAGGCTGCTGTGAGACATGGCTTCATCTTTCACATTTAGCGGCAGGCCCACCTGCCACACCCTGGGAGCAGCGCTCACTGCTGAGGATGCTGGCAACAGCACTTTAGGTCTCTTTTTGGCACCATGTAGAAGTAAACCAGAGGCAAGAAATTACAATTAGTGTAATCTATTTGTTTTAGGATTAAAATTTGTAATCTAATTTAATGGCTTTTAAAGAATTACTAAACTAGAAAGTGCCAATTGAGAGAATTGAGGAGTACAGAGATAAACAAAACAAAACAACCCCCTTAAAACCTCCAAACCCCAATCTGTGCTCCCTGTTCCCATCACCGGAGAAATGAAGTTGCCCCTTCCCACCCTCCAATCCTTGCTTCCACTTCTTGTCCCCTAGGCCATGCAGAGGTGAAGGGACCGGACTCTCCTTTTATATTGACCTGTCCACAGGCACACCCAGGGGTGGTCGACTACACATCTGGTCTCCAGAGATCAAGGATCAGGCAGGCAGAACTAGGTCTCCCAGCTTCTGAACAGGCCCTGGATACTCCCTAGCATGTGCAGATCTTTGATCCCAGTGGCTTCTGGGCCTTTGATGTGCTCACTTCCCCAGATGTGTGCACAGGACAGAGGCCCACCCTGCATGCTATGGCCCTGTGGGCACCCACCGCAGTGGCAACACTTACCTGCTTTGTGCTTTGCCCAGGCCGGGGAGAAGCACTACCACCCTTCATGCGCGCTATGCATCAGATGCGGCCAGATGTTCTCAGAGGGCGAGGAGATGTACCTGCAAGGTAAGCATTCGGATGTGCCTATTGCACGCTATGCTCAAGGTGAAAAACTCCCACAGTGCTGCTGGGAGCTGGCATATCACACACTGACTGTGATCTCGAGTCAGTGACACTGCCATCGAGGGTGTCAATGAACCCGAGTGAGTGAGATCAGGCTGCCAAAGAGTAGGCCACGAGGTCCCACCACTGCCCTTCAGGCCTCATCATACACAAGGACTCAAAGACTTTAGTTGTGCCCCACCTGAGCCTTTTGGTGCCCCTTCTACACTGCAGCAAGACCAGGTTTCCTTCCTGCAGGGTGGAAAGGAGCCGTCTTCACAACATTGGCAAAGGGAAATTTGGAGAAAGGAGCCTTCCGATGTGTTCCCTAGAACCCTACCCACACACCATTAAAACTCATATTGATAGGGACAGTGAGGTGGCTTCATGGCTGGAGCCCCTGACTGCACAAACCTGATGGCCTGAGTTCCACCCCTGGAGCCCAAGTAAAGGTGGCCAGAGAGAACTGGCTGTTGGAATGTGCCCTCTGACCTTCACACACTTCACATGTGCCATTGGCAACCCCCCCAATACCAATAAAATAAAAATAAATTATAATGATAAGTGTCAAAATGGAAAACAACAGCGGAGCTCAGCCCCTTCATGGCTATGCCTCACTTTAGACCCATCCGATGTTTCATTCCCTGAAATAGGTTGAGCGTCCCACAGCCGAGCAGAGGGCATGGTGGTATAGACATAATGAAGCCATAAATGGCAGGAGTGGCAGAGAGGTGACGGCATTGCCAGGTCACTGTCCCCCCTGAGGCAGTATGGGGGACAGAGCAACCAACTGAAGGTGGCTCCAGGTCACACAGGTGCTTAAGAGGTCGCCAGTCTTTCAGGCCTGAGAGGGAGGTTAAGTCTGTTCCCTTCCGGTCCCGTCTCTTGGAAAGTCAAAGAGGCACCATAGTTTCATCTCAAAACTCTACTGGGAATGACATCATTTAGGTTAAGATGTTCAGTCAGGGCCTGGTGCAAGAGCTTGGTCAGCCTACCCTCCAGGGCTGTTAGTCAGAGGGAGTGGCTGTGAGGCCAAGACATCCCAGATACACCAGCAGAGACGGCTGGGAGTGCTGCTTGGAGGAGGTGTGGGCTTGGCTTGGCCACGACGAGAGGCTGGAGCTACAGGGTGAATAGGTGACTAGGAAGGCAGAGAGCCCACCCACCAGGAGCCTACATTCAAATGGAAGGTGGCAGAGGATTGGCTCAGCCTGGTGATCTGGTCCTCACCAGACTGAATGCAGCAAGAGGAGAGAGCTCACCCCTCAACCCCTGCCCAGGGCTAGCAGGAGAGACAGACGCGGGAGGCTTGAGGGGCTTGATTTCATCCCAGATCACGCGACCATGGGACACTGGAATGACTGGGGGACCAGGGGCCAGCAGTAGGGTGGGCACGATCTGTGGCCTTGTTTGTATTTCATCTCTTTGGCAATTTGCTCTTTCTCCTGGGGTCCTGGGACAGGGATGGAGCTGGTAGCAGCTGCATCTGTTGTGTTCTGTCTATAGACTGATGCTGAGTAACCACAGAGAGGCATTCCAATCTGTGTGTGAGACAGGCCTCCCTTTTCTGAGGCATTCCCTGACTGGGGATGATGTCAGATGTGACAGTCTCATCCCTACTGTCGCCTGTTGTTCCCAAGGGAGATCCTGAGAGTCAGGCCAGCCACCATGGCTGCTCTGTGGGAGGCCCTCTGCAGAGGCCTCGCTGTGGATGTAAATGGAGCCCTTAGAGGGCCAGCCGATGCCAAGCACGGCTCACTGGCGTAGTGGCTTGGGGACACGTGCTCACATGAAGGTGTCCTTATCTCTGGAAACAAAGATCCCCTTCATGAGTCTGGGATGTTGAGCCAATGCAGTGGGACCTGCCAGGGCTTTCTGTGGGCACGGAGTCCAGGCTGCCCTCTCAGGCATGGGTTTTCCACACTGCAGTGAGGGTCTGACCAGGCTAGTGGCACTTCTTTGTGCTCTCTGGGGAGCTGAAGACTATGGCCAGGGCCTTGTGTAGGACCCCCACCATTCCTAGCCACTCTGAGGTCTTCTGTGTGGCTCCTCATAGCTACTCTCTCCATGAAGGTGGTCTCTGGCAGGTTGTTGGTGCTGTGACCAGAGAGAGCTCTGGCAAATGTGGTGCTATGACTTTCATGGTATCCCAGCCATGAGAGCTTCTTCCCTACCCCTGCCTCTGTACTTGATGCTACCTCCAAGAATACCCGTCTGGTTAGCTTAGGCTGGGCAGTGTGCCCAGGCTCCCTGGAACCCGTGTCACTGCCCACAAAAGTAATCGGACCACATTGGGAAGTTCTCTGCTTTCCCTCATGCCATTAGCCCACATGAGCCAAGCTGCTCTCAGTGTCATGGAGAGGAGGTGTGGAGCCTGTCTGAAGGGTATTCAGCAGGTAGTCATGCGTGGGCACCGCACCCAGAACTGCTCTTTGACCTCTTCCTCTGGGAATCTATCCACAGGCTCCTCTATCTGGCACCCGGCATGTCGGCAAGCAGCCAGGACTGAAGACAAGAGCAAGGTTGGTGAGATTTGTGGCTTCCTGGTGTGTTCTCCACATGCGGGTTAGAGGGGGAGACGCAGGCCAGCCTGCTCATGCTTCTCAGCCAGGTCTCCAAGACATCGCAGGACAGCCAGGCTCAGGGGACAGAGGGCCACAAGGTAGGGGATCATATAGGTCAATGAGCCATCATGTAGGTCTAATGGGGTCCCAGGGACACCAGATGGCCCAGCCCTGCTGACTTTCTTGTCTAGTCAGTGAACACAGATCATTTGTGGGCTCAAACTGTGCCTGGCTTAACAGGTCCTACACCCTCACTGATATCTGGCCTGCCTGCCATAGAGCAAGTTCTTGAGGGTAGATTGGTCAGAATACACAGCAAGTCCCAAAGAAGAACTTCTGTCTTCTCCCTGTGGGGACAGGCATGTCACCCTCCCGCACAGATGCAGGACAGGGCACATAGAGCACTGCCAACCAGGCAAGCTCCATGCTCGAGATTTCACCGGGGCTCCAGCAAGGGAGGAGGGTGACTCTTCGAGCCCACATATCAGATCCATTGAGTCCCTGCAACCCGAGGCTCTTGTCCTAGGGCACAGGTTGGTCTTGCCGACATGGTCACCCATACCCTGAGATGATCAGGTGTGGTCAGCCCTCCCTGTACACAGCTGCTGCTGAGATGAGGTAACTATGGCCTCCTAGAGGCTGAGAGCAAAGGTCAGCCTTTAGGAAGGCATGGGCTCTGAGCGCCATAGATGCCCTGCTGTGTGCCAGGCACCAGGTTTATGGAGAGACAACAGCCACGCTGCGTGGGAAGGAAGCGCAGGATTCAAAGGGTGCACGAGAGCTCAAACCCAGGCCTTGGGAGAAGAGCAGCAGTGATTTCTAGGGTGGTTAAGGTGCAGGGCAGAAAGAGGAGGGGAAGAGGGTAGGGGGGTGGGAGGGCGAAGAAGAAAAACCCAGGAGAAGGAAATGATGGGGGAGAAGGGAGAGGAAGATTGGCTATAACAGAAGCAGAGGGATACACAGAACAGGGAGAAACACAGGGAGGCAGTGGCTAGCAGGGCGCTGTCCAGGATCCTCTCAGCAGCCTTGCCATTGGCTGTGAGGAGCTCATAACCACCCCCGCACCTCCCCAACTCCCCAACCCCCCAGTGACTGTGCATCCTTCTGCCTCATTGCACTGACATCCTATTAAGTCTTTGCTGTGGCTTTCCAGGTAGGAGGCCAGTGAGTAATGCACATTGTATGCTCTGTTTCCGTCAGTGCTGATTCTCTCTGCAAACTATGCATCTGCCACTTAGGGCATCCTCGCCCTCAGTCATGGACTGTGGAGATGTGACCATAGATCCTGATACCATCTTGCCTGCAGGGTCCCCTGTGCTGCCCAGCCACTCAGCAGAAGAGGGAGTCTGACCTGCCCAGAGGCCCCAGATATACTCTCACACATGCGTGTGCTCAGAGAAATGACCTGACCAGAGATTGAGCTAGGAAAGAGAGCTGGTACCCTGCTCTGCTCCCTTCCCCAGTCAGCTTCAAGGACCAGGTAGGGTAGGGTGGCCCTGCCCCACACCAGCTGCAGGCGACAACAGCCTTCCTCATTTTCTGTGGTCCCTGGACAGATGGAAGGCCCTGAGGGATGGATGCTGCCAGACCAGGGAATAAGGCAGCCTTGTTTTCCTGGGCCTGTGCAGGCGGGCCCTACATTCCGGGCTCTCTGGTCTGTACAGAAGTGAGTAGCTTAACATGAAGGTTGTCTCCTTCAGTCAACATTTGGGGCAGAGCCTGGACAGCCTGAGACAAGCTGACTTCTTGTCAGGTATTGAGCCTGGGCTTCCCAGGACTGGCTGATGTCTGGTCAGACCTGAGGGTGAAGGGGACAGACTCCTGCACTCTGTTGCTCCGCGTGTGAGCTGCCCTCGAGTAAGGGAAGCCAGGCAGGCCTGACTGACTTATGAAAACTCCTGTCTCTGAGAAACAACACAGCATGAAGGCGGCACCTGGGTTACTGACTCTTGAAATCTGCCACTGAGTGGAGGCAGAGCCTACTTTCTACCCAGTGACAAGAAATGGATTCCCTGTCTTGGGCTTAATAGTCACCATAACAAGTGACTCTTGGGACATCTCTAGGACACTCAGGGGACTCATTCTCCTTTAAGACCCTGGCTCCTGATTGGTCTATCCATGCAGGGCCAGGTCAGCAGGAAGAAATACGGGTCTTCCTTGCTGTTTGGAAAGCCACTCCAACTGTGTCGCTGTCCCTCCTCTACTCAGGCAGGAAGTATGTTGTGGACAAGAACCACTGTTTACAGGGTCCTGAGCATCTGGAATAGGTGCAGGGGACATTGGGAGATGTAGTCATGACTGCCCAGATCCACAGGCATTGTGGCATCTTTAGCACAGCACCCAGCACCCAGAACCCACAGGTATCATGGCATCCTTGGCATAGCATCCAATGCCTACAAGTATCATGGCATCCTCAGCACAGAACCCAATGCCCACAGGTATCAAGACATCCTTAGCACAGCATCTGGCCACCCACCATGTGTTTTTTTGTATACCTGGAACTGGGGAGAGAGCAGCGAATGAGGCTCATGGACTTCCTACCAGTTCCAGCCTATTCTTACCTCTGTGGGTGGGAACAGGCAGTGCCACAAGGCCAGGTGGGAAACATGGCACTGAAGTTCACTGTGGGTCTTTGTGGAACGGAACAGGTTAGGAATGGTGGAGGGTAGGATAATACCCATCTTCTCACCCTGGTGACAGTCACCCCAGCTCTTCTCCTTATCTCCTCTGCTGATGGGGAGTCAGGTTCTGGCCTCTGCCCTCCCCCACAGAGCTAGGCACTGAGTCTAAGGAGGGCTCACATCATCTCTGCTCAGAGTGGCTGGAGCCCATGGCACAAAGAGAGCTGGCAGCGGTCATCTCTGCCAGCTCTGTGGAGCTGGCTCAGATATTCCCCTGGCATGACCAAGGGACAATGCTCGGAATGCCACATTGGTCTGCAGTGCACGCCAGGAATAGCAGGCCCCTGTCTGGGCATCTTGCCACTTTCCAGAGAAGGGGCCAGGCAGGCATCATCCAGGGTCGGTGGAGCACAGTACCCACTCGGCCTCTCCCCACTAGAAGGGCAGGCCCCGTCTTACAGGCACCAATTACAGGCATGAGGGGGCCACTGCAAGGAGCAGTTCTGAGGTACGTGATGACTAAGGACTGGACAGTCAGTGCCATGAGGCGGTCCCATTCCCGTCAGCCTCGAAAGCTGTGGTACCAGGGAGGGGTACCTGTCAGTGTATTCCCTAGCTGAGGTGCTGAGAAATCAAGGGCCCCGAGGGGAGGCAGAGCTCAGTGCTGAGGGGTCCAAAACACAGGAGCTGCAGAGGGGATGGCAGGATCTGAAGAGCAAGCTTCACGCCATCCCTCCTCTCTCCCTTCTAGATGCACAGCTCTGTTTGCAGCCAGCCCTGCCCGGGCACCCTGCCCTGTGCCTTACAGGTTTGTGCCCCCTGCTACCTTGTGTGGCTCGTCTGGTCCTGGTGTCTGCCTGTCCCTGCTCGTGCCATGCTAATTGTAGGAGGAGCTCAGGAGGGGAGGCCTCCTCCAGGTCAGGCTTGGTCCCTCTAGCCTGGAGGTTTCAACACATTCCCTGCCTCCCTGTGGCAGGGATCAAAGCTACAGGTGATCGCCGGCCGGCCGGCTCCTCCTGAGGCCTCTCTGATTGGGGTTGGTGGCAGCATCTTGTTTTCTTACATGCTTGTGTGTGCGTTCATGTTCTGAGCTCTTTTTAGGATGACTCCAAGCAGATTGGCTTAGATCCACCCAGTGACCCATTTTACCTTTGTGACCTCTAGGAGGACCCCCCCATCTCCACACGGTCACACTCTGAGGTCCCAGGAAAGGGCCTCAACATGGGAAATTTAAGAAAACCAATGAGGGCCTTAACAGATGTCAAGCGCCTCAGGAGAGGAGCATGGCAGACTCTGTAGGCAATAAAGGAGCCTCCTGAGGAAAAGGGAGGGAGGGGCAGCGGTGGTGTGGGTCACTGAAGATATGCAGGGGAGGACGTGAAACCCAGGGCAGAGGGGTCAGAGCTCTCATCTTCTGAGAGGCAGGGACACCTGGTGGAAATATGTTCCTCTTAGATGAGGAAAGCAGGAGGCACGAGAATGGGCATGGGAGGAACTAGACCAGGAGAAGGGGTCTAGAGTGGCCAGGGGCACGGGCCTTGCCTGTAAGGATGAAAGCCAGGTGTGGGGCATTTAGGGGATCTGTATGAGGGAGGGGAAGGAGGAGCTAGAGCTAGCAATACAGAGGGGAGGGGAGGAGGGCATGTAAGGAGGGTTGGGCACTGTCAATGGCAGAGACTGGGAGGAAGCTGGTTATGCAGTGACATCACGCACCACCTGATACTGGCAGAGCTGCGCCTAGGTAAGGGAGGAAGGAGTAGCTGAGAAGGCCGGGTCAGCAGAGGGGAGGGTGTGACTGCTGGGTGTGGCTGGAGGACTGACATTTGTCCAAGCATTGGAAAATAGCAGAGGTTCCATGCACCATGGAGATGATGCATAACATGGTTGCTAGACATGCCCACTTGCCTTCATCCTCAGAGACATGATAACCTCACCCCAGCATCCCTTGGGACATTCTGAGCTTTTTGTGAGTGACGGGTTGTGGACACCTTATCTTCACTAATGGCCTGCTGTGTTTATTGTAGTCTTCAGTTGTTCTTCCAAGCCTGTGCATTTGTTCCAAGACTTCCCTCAACCTACAAAAGGGGGAAAATTCCACCTGCCGAGCTCACTGGCATTCTTGCCCATATCCTGGAGATGCCTCCAGAAGGTGCCCAACAGTGTGGCTCCAGGTCAACTTGTACAACTCTGTTCTAGGAAACCAGGACTTCCTCAGAGAGCATTGTCTCCGTGCCTGCATCCAGCACGTCGGGGTCCCCAAGCCGTGTGATCTACGTAAGTGAGGGCCATGGAGAGTGCTGTGGGGTGGTGGTGGGGTCACCACTGGGCCAGTTCTGTGGGGACTGCAGTCTGTTGAGGATGGTCACTGTGGGCTCCAAGAATGAGGCTCGACACTCAGCACTACCGTGGGGGAAAATGGGTAGAGAGCTGGGGAGTGACTTGAACCCTGAGGCCCAGACACATCCATGCGGCCTAGGAAGGCCACTAGGAATTTGTCCTCAACTGACTGGTAATGAGAGGGAAGCATGGAGCATAGCTGTGGTCATCATCCTGCAGGCAGGCAATGGCTGGTCTCTAGGTAGTCAGCCAAGGCCATGTGAAGGAAGGGTATGTGGGCCTATAAGCCGCTATGCAGGTCCATGCACGTGCACAGAAGGCTCCTGCCCAACTCCCCAAGAGAAAGGTATTGTAAAATAGCACCAGACAGACCTTGGTGGGCCAAGGGTCCATGTGGCAGGTGAGAATCAGAGGCCTCACGGTGGGCAGGAGACAAATATGCCATGCAGGGTCACTGTGATTACAGCGTGGAGGGAGAGGGTTCTAGAACCCTGGGAGGACACTTGTGCTGAGTCTCAGCCAGTGCCTGTGAGGTCCAGAGTCTGGCTGTGCATTGGAGGCAAGGTGTTTCCCCTGTGGACCTCTGAAAGCTTATTTGTAAGCTGGGGTGAATTCAATCCCACCACCCAGTCTGTGCAGATGCCTGATTGCTCGGCTTTAGACAAAATGTGATGAAGCCGGTGGAGTCCCAGACAACTCTAGTCCTGACCTGGGGATGTAAGAGAGGACATGCAGTCCACAGAAGGTCAGCCCTCTGACCTGGATGGAAGTGAGACCTCCATGAGTGGGAATGGTGTGTGCACAGCTCTAAGATGAAGGATGGGAACTACAGGAGCCAAGGGGCAGGATGTACAGAATGGGGGCAGAGGAGATCAAGATCAACTGATGGTCAGGGAAAGATCCCCTGAGCTCCATTCGTCCAAACAGCTAGAACATCCCAATGGGATGGTTCATGGTGATCATAAGCCCTGGCTTAACATTTGACCTCAGGTATTTTGAGACCTGCCCTGGGCTCCAGAAGAATGGTCAGAGATATGAAGCATTAGGCCTTCAGTCATAGTGCAATGCTAAGTGCAAGACTCTCTCTGCCAAATGTCCCCAGGGAGCCCTGGAGTGAGTCTAGTAGTCAGAAAGGCTTCCCAGAGATGGGTGAGGGGTGCTGGGCTCTGGAGAGCCTGATAGGTTCTGGAAAGACAAAGATGTGGGTGGCCTGAGGTAGAAGATGCCTGAGGGTATCAGGAGAGCCACTTGATGCAGCTGCGGTTTGAGAGAGTTGCTAGGACAGGGAGTACCCATGGGGGAAGTGTTCTAGAATCATTCAGCTGCCATGCCTTCTTAGGTGAGTGACTCTGGGAAAATTATCTAGCCTCTCTGAGCTTTGGACTTTCTTGTAAGTGGGAGCACTGTGAGTGTCCCCACCACAGGGAGCTGTGACTTTCTGTCACTGATGCAGTTCAGTGTCCACTGTGGCTGTTGAGGCTTTGTCTCAGAATCCCAGCAGAGGAGTCCTGGCAAAGACTGATGCAGAAATGGAACCTGAGCAAGGAGGGACCAGCCCAGAGCCAGGCTGGGGACTGGAGAGAGTGGAGGTGCTCCTAAGACCAGAGCAGATATGTGGGACCATACAGAGAGCATGGGCACAGTGGGCCACTGTCCGAGACGGCAAGGAGGAATAAGCAGGCGCAACAGCAGCCACGTGAACCTCATGTGAGCCAGCATGGCGGCTCACAGAATCTCAGTCAGTGAACACATGTGGGCCGTGTCCCAGCACCCTGTCAAATGCTGAGCAGACATCTTGCTGTCATTTCTGTACCTGCTCAAAACTGCTAAGAAGAGGGGAGAGAGAGTGAGAATGAGTGCAGAGGGGGTCACGTGTGTGCTCATTTGGTGTGGATAGAGTGAGTTATGCTAGTGTATGTGTCACACACACGTGTGCAAGTTTGTAGGAGTCAGTCCTGGTGTGCAAGTAGTATGCCAGTATGTGGATGTGTTGTGAACCAGCAGGGGTGTGTTATCACATGGGAGTGGGTGCAGTTTTAGTTGTTGTGCGTGCCCTCATCACCTCAGAGAGGCACATTCTCTGTGTGTGCTGATGTGTGCAGGCATACCTGTGTGTGCATTGATGTGAGCAGTGGATTGTGTGCATGTACATCTGTGATATATGTTTGTGCTGTGTACCTGTACCATGGGTGGTTTTCGGTCAGAGCCTGAGTCTCCTTGTCAGGCACATTATGGGTCCATCAACACATTATGGGCATAATGAACAACCTCAGTGTCTGATCCCGAGGCTATTCCTGTGAACAGGTCCTGGGCCTTGCATCCCTGTCCCACCTTTCCTGGGGGCTGGGTATGCTCAGACCTTGCTGGACCATCATCACTGCTGGCTGTGAAGTTGCTCTGTCCTGGCTTGTGACATCAGTGTCCACTCCTCTGCTCTCGCTCTCTCTCCCATCAGGCGAAGCTTGGCGATGAGATCCTGGACTACAGGGACTTGGCTGCTCTTCCCAAAAACAAAGCAATCTATAACATTGACCGGCCCGACATGATCTCCTACTCACCCTACATTAGCCACTCGGCCATTGGGGACAGGCAGAGCTATGGCGAGGTATGCATCGTCACCATGTGCTGCATGCTTCCCCTGATGCTGGCTCTTGCGGACACAGTTTAGTCATGGCCACTGCTCTCAGCTTCTTTGTCCCCAAATAACACGCCCATCTTATTTAAGGCACTCCTAACTAACCACGCCCCTCTCAGGGAAGTGAGGCTGAGAGTGGATTGGAGGTGAGCAGAGTTGGGGTAAGGGAAGCACACTCTGAAAATGTCTGCATTTTCCTGGCTACTAAGTGCTTTCATGACATGTGCTCTATGTCATTTTCCCTCTCTGGACCATATGGGCTTGAGCCCACATTCCCAGGCTAGCTCTTCTTCTGTGGGTTCCTTGAGTCCATCTCTAGGCTGGTTGAACAATATGTGTCATGATTCCCAGCTTTGCCGAAAGTAAACAGCATCTATTGGTGATGTCTGAAAGTAGGCAGCAACTATTAGTGATATCTGAAAGTAGGCGGCATCTATTGGATGTGTCTGAAAGTAGGCAGCATCTATTGGAGGTGTCTGAAAGTAGGCAGCATCTAGTGGTAATGTCTGAAAGTAGGCAGCAACTATTAGTGATATCTGAAAGTAGCCAGCATCTATTGGAGATGCCTGAAAGTAGACAGCATCTAGTAGTAATGTCTGAAAGCAGACAGCATCTATTGGTGATGTCTGAAAGTAGGCAGTATCTATTGGTGATGTCTGAAAGTAGGCAGTATCCATTGTTGATGTCTGAAAGTAGACAGTATCGATTGGTGATGTCTTATTTAGGCTGCCTGTTTCCATTGAGTGCTGCAGGTCTCACTGAGTCTCATTTTCCTTCTGTCAGGGGGTCTTAGTGTGTTTTTGGCTGTGTGTGGAGCTCAGAACAGATGCCCACCTGGGGCAGAAAAATGGTTATTCCTAATATGTGCTCCTTTGACCTCTTTCTTTGGCTTCAGCAAGGCCTCGCAGGGAGTGAAAGCTAAGACCTGGGGCATTGTACATACCTCGTAGTGTTGAGTTGCCCAGCTTGGCCCTGCATAGGTCATAGCTTCCAGACAAGCCTGTAGGCTCTGAGGGCCACTCAGAGGTGGAGAAGAACAAAGGGACTGTCAGGTGGCCATCCTGGTGTGCATGTCTGAGGAGGGGGTTCACTGGCCTTATGGCTACTGTGCCGCCCACCGTGTGCCTGAGCTGGGTGTGGATGTCACCATCCCACATCCTGCCTTTGGGCAGCAGGGAACTGAAGAGGCTCAGAGACCAAGCAACTTGTCTGTGTCCCTCTGAGATCCAAAGCTCCCCCCCCCACACACACACACAGACCATGCACTGACTGTTTCCTTGGCTGATCCTCAGGGACATGGAAGTCAGGCCTCAGAGCTGGCTTCAAGTCCCACTGTGGTCAGCTTCAGAATGCCACCAGGGCTCTCCCCCAGTGGAGCATTGGCATTCCTGCACTGGCTTCAGGAAGCCCTGGTGGGAGGGATTTAGTGGGCAGTGGTGATATACAAGACCACAGACTGTTGATAACTTTGTCCTATATCCCTGGGTCACACAGTGTTGCCGCTTGTGTGTGGCATAGAGTTGTGGACACGGTCTGGAGACCTCTGAGGTTTCTTTCAGCATCTGAGACCACACAGCAAGATCCATGTGACCCACAGATAGTCCTGACTTAAGGGTATGTCCCTCAGAGGGCAGTGGGACAGCCTGGGAGAGTCTTTATGTGATTCAGGAGTTACCCTCTCCAGTATCTGCTTGGCCACAAGCTCGTACCTTCTGCCTATCCTGCCTGTGAGACCTGCTTTAGCAGATGTCAGTACCCGGCTGTCCTGGGGAAGGAAGGGGTGTTCCCACTAAAATGCCACTTCCTCCCAAGGCCCGGGATGGTGTGTGGTGGGCAACATAACATAGAAAACCTCAGACTCTTGTAGGGTAGATTATATACAGAGTACCCAGTGGTTCATTATGGCCTCACTGCCTCATCCCTGTGGACCATTCTCAAGAACAGAGTTCTCACTTCTGTCCCTGTATCCGGCTCAGCCCCTGAGAATTGTACCTAAGAAAACCATGACCAAGTGAGGCTCAGCTAGGATTCATAGGGACCCAGGTAAGCTGGCTCTGGCCCTTGCTCTCCGAGTGTCCTGAATGAGGTGGAAGAGCCATCCTTCTAGCGGAGAGGAGCCATTGGCTAGAAACATAAGGACTGGAGCATCCTCTCTGAGCCTCTGTCTCCTTGCTCTCTCCCAGCTCATGGCCCTAGTCACCCTCTTTCTGCTGTCCCCCACCCATCTGTCCTCTCCAGAAAAAATAAGAGTTGAGCCCAGTGGGTATTACCAGAGTGATCCCTCAACCACCAACTGCTTTGTTTTTGAACTCGTGGTCTCTGTGGAGAATAAGGATGGGATCAGGTGGGCTGAGTAGAGGAAGGCGCTGGGCCAAGCAGCACCAAGCCATCTCTTGTGGTGGGGCTCTTTCTTAGCTAGAGTCTCAGGTCACTGAATGTGGGTGCCTGTGTTGCCTGTGGTTACCAAACAGCCCTCTTACCCCAAAGCAACCCCTGGCACAGCGCACTAACAGACGGCTCTGTTGTGTCCACAGTCGCCTCAGTTGCTCTCACCAACGCCGACTGAGGTAACCACCTCCTATGCCTGTGTCCCGTGTGCTCATGGTGCTACCAACTGCAGGGTTATAGAGATGACCAGCATGGCACCCTGAGGGCCACAGGGCCCTAGCCACGCCTCACCGGGCCCCCTGCTGGTTGTTTTTATAATCGCATCTCATCTGCATGCTCCCCCTTGTGTGTGCAGACAGGTCTTTACCAACACAGGGGATGTGGTGTCGCCTGGCAGCTCCTGGCCTGGGTCATGACTTCCTTGGGTGAGCTGAGGTCCACTTCTATCCCCCGAACTAGATATACAGGAAGTTCCAGGACCTTGTGGCTGAGCACTCTCGGAGAGCTGTGCTGTCAAACAGGCTCAATAGCATTGCAGGGCTTCTTCTTGCCTCGGAAGCAGTGGGGCAGATTGTGGCCTCTCAGACCCTCAGCCATGTGACAGAGTCCATGGGGAGGGCATAGTGGCACAGCACACTTTTGAGTCCTCTCTCTGTGCTGGACACGGCTACCATCATTTTATACCTAATTCCTTTAGCCCAGAGCATCTCCCAGAGATAGCTTCCAATGGGGAAACTGGAGCCTAGATGTCAAATAACTGGGCTATTTTTTCCTACCCTCCCTATCCTTGGGGAGTGCCCCTTTCCAGCCCACAGAGCTGATCCCAAGAGTGAGGATTTCCTTGTCATCTCAGACTGAGGAATGCTTTTTACTTCTTGTAGCTTTAGAAGCAGGATCTACGGCAAGAGCCCCTGCCTGTCCCTCCATGACCTCCTCAGCCTGTCTTCTTAGAAACCATACCTGGGCCATTGTGGGGACCATGGTGCTGTGGGGTATCTGGAGTTGAGATGAGGCTAGGAGGGCTGGCATGACCCAGGCCAGCAGACTTCATTGCTGAGGGATGGGCAGTCTGATCCTCGAACCATGGTGCCATGCCATCTCATGCTGCTGTCGCCTGCTCTGGCTGCTCTCGGAAGCTCCTCTTCCTGCTGAGATAGGGGTTGTGTCGTCAGCGCTTGTGGGCCTTGTTGTCTGGCTTCTGAGCCCCAGAGGGTACCCTCCCACCTCAGAAGGTGCCCCAGAACATCTAGGTCCTCCCTCACACACAGGGAGCATTTCAGTGTGTTCTCAACCCGTTCCAAAAGTCCAGAGTTCTGGGGATGATTAAGAGGGAGGGAACAAGGCAGATGGACAAGAAGGGTGGCTGTCTAATGGTCCCATGATCAGGCCAAAGGGGCTTGTTATGGCTCAGACCTACTTCGCTGTCCGGATGTGCTCTGTCTGTGCTCGGAGACCCTGTTTTCGGGCTGTGTTGTTTCTGCCCTTGGGATCTAGAGGGCAAATGCAGCAGGACAGATGAAAGGCAAGCAGTGCTTCTGACCCAGGTGCTCCCACACTGTCTTCCCACCCAGGGGGATCAGGATGATCGGTCCTACAAGCAGTGCCGGACCTCCAGCCCCAGCTCTGCTGGCTCCGTCAGCCTCGGGCACTACACCCCAACATCACGGTCACCCCAGCACTACAGTCGCCCAGGTATTTATCCCCACCCTGCTTCCCTTGACCCCTGATGAGGCTGTACTTCTCAACGAGTTTGCAGAAAGAAAGTAGCTGCTTTATTCACTGAGAAAAGTGGCTGAGTTGGGGGTGGCGGGAGCCAGTGCGTGGTTAATGGAGAGTCACTTAGCCATAAGGAAAAGGATTGCCCTATGCCTAGGAGCAGGTAGCCATGAGGCAGCTGGTCACCCTGGGGCTGGAGAAGCTGTCTAAATCCACAGTGCACATCCCAAAAAGCATCCTACCCTGAGGCCCACATGGAGCAACCAGAGTTTGGTTCTGGGGGTAGTAACAGAACAGTCAGAATGTGGAATAGCACATGAGGCAGGACACCGAGTCACAGCCTGTTGTGAGCCCATAGGAGTTTGGAAGGACTTGATCTGAGGAGTCAAAGTCAGTGGCTACACCACCACCCAGGCAGGGTGTCTAATGCTGTACCTATCACTCACTAACCCTGCAGACAGCCATCCTAATAAAGAGGCTGGCAAAAGACCGCTATGTCCTTCCAAGCTGGGACAGAGCCCTGCACAGGGCCTCCGATCCTATTGCCTCATCTCCACCCACTCAACCCACCCCTCAATTTGCATCGTCTTCCTCAGCTTTGAGCTGGCATGTGGAAGCCACAGGGACCATGCACAAAAGCGATGCCTTTTGGAGGGATTTTTCCAGCCTGCTTCTTCCCTTTCCAGCCGCGCATGACCCATTTTCACACCTATGGGCCATAGCTCTTAGTTCTGAAAACTCGGTGGAAAAATCAACTTAATTGTTTGCAATCATTGTCATCGGTTCCTTGCAATACACCTGGCCCTTCCTGCTTAGCAAGTGTGAGGAGTGAGGGTGTATGGGAGAGTAAGTGAGTGTCTGAGTGGCTGAGCTAGTGGATAAGTGTGTGAATGAGAATGAATCAATGAATGAATAAGTGAATGAGTGAATGAATGAATGAATGAATGAATGAGTGGGTTGTGGATGAGCAACTGAGTGAGAGAATGAGTGAGTGAGTTAATGGGTTAGTCAGTGAGTGAATGGGTGAATGAGTGAGTTAATGATGGTTAGTGTATGTATAAGTGAGAGAATTGAGCAACTGAGTGAGTGAATGAATGAATGAATAAGTGGATGATTGAGTAAATGAATGGAGATGTGTGAGTGAATAAGAAAGTGAACAGATAGTAGGTGTGTGGATAGAAGTGCCTTTCTTGAGCCCTTCCCCTAAGGCTCCTTGTGACTTGACCTCTGACTTCGCATCCCCCAAGAGGGCCTGCCTAACTACTAAGTGCTTGGTCAGGGGTAAAGCCTACAGGGCCAAGCTTTTTATCTGAGCTGGCAAGTGCCATGAGGATGCTGGTGACAGATCACTCCCTGACCTCTGGAAGCTGCCCTCCCATTGTCCTTGATCTCAAGGACACCCCAAAGTGAGCCACAGGCAGGACCAGAGGCTGTGTCCCAAGCCCTGGCTGCTACCCTGTGTCCCAGAGGCAGCATCTCCTGACCCCACCTGGAGGAGAATGGCCCACAGCCTGCTGGGTGACCCTCTTCAGGTGCTCCAGGAGAGCAGAGGGACAATGTCCCTGGCCAAGTGGGGACTAGGACAAGTTGGTGGCTCTGGGGTGGAGGAGCCCAGGGTTACTGACTGCTCTCTGTTGCCCGCAGCTGGTACTGTGAGTGTTGGTACCAGTAGCTGTCTGTCCCTGTCCCAACACCCAAGCCCTACATCCGTGTTCAGACATCATTACATCCCCTACTTCCGAGGTAAGGCGTGCAGTGCGCAGCGGGGGGTGCTCGTCCCATGTCTCCGCATGGCTTCCAGAGCCCTGTGTCTCATGCCTGTGTTCTTCCTGTGTTGTGTGCGTCTGGCTCTATTTCGTCAGTGTGTCCATGTTCCTGGAAGGAGAACAGGGTTGATTTGTCACTGAAAGTGCAGCTGGAGAGAGCATGTCAATGAACATCTTGCTGCACGCTTAGGGCCCCACTAGAGTCATTATACATGTTTCCCCATCAACTCTATGTGGTGGGGTGCATCCGATAGCATCAGCCTTCAGGAGCAGGAGCTGAGAAGTGAGAGGTGGTGATGTCCCCAGCCTCAGACCCCTGGCGGCTGTCCCAGGACTCAACCCAGGGGGCTCTAACCCCAGGCTCTTTCTAGGATGCAGAACCAGCCATGATCCATGTTCTGTAGACCCATATATGTGACATCCATGGGGAGAATGGACACCCTTGTATTTTCCTCCACTCTAAGAATTGAGTTATGTAGACCCCAAGTTCACATATTGATGGCCAAGCCTCCATGTAGCAGTGTTTGAAGAAACACAGCGAAAGCAGCAGTAGAGGTAGGGTGAGGTCTCAAGGTGGGATCTCATCTGCTGGGACTGGTGACCTTATAAGAAGGAGGCCCTGGGCATCAGTGGAGAGATGGTCAACAAGCCAGGATGAAATACCACCAAAATAAAACAAACAATAACAACACCAAAACCCACTCCTGGGCTTTGATCATGAGAAATGAGAGACTGAAATGGATGTAGACCCTGAACTGTGAGTTTTGTTACACAGCCCAGCTGATAAAGGCACTGGCAAATGACATCTGGGGACTTAGAAAACATCGCAATGATTTTCTCAAGAGTACCTGGGCGATATATTAAGTTCCCTGTCTCTCACAGTCATAAAATGGTACCCATGGAAAGCGCCATTCCACGGGGCACAGGAGCAGCTGACAGCTAACTCCTGTCACTAGCAGTCAGTAAACAGCCCGTCTCCTTCATCTTTATTCTCACCCCTGGCCCCACTGAGACGAGCCCTTGGCACTATCATGTCTTCCTTGCTCCTTCATGGGCTCTCCACACATCCCAGTCTCTAGCAGGGGTTGAGTCTCCAGTGAAGATGTACAGCCCCAGATGGCACATCCCTAGAGCAGTAGAGTGGCTTCTGGGGCCTTGATACACACGTATCATATGTCTGTGGGAGTCTCAGAGTGAGGGGTGCTCCCGGGACCTGGAGGGAGCCTGACGGCTCTGGGGAGTGTCTTTCTCCCCTTTGCTCAATGGCGCTGGATAGTTTTCCTCCCATCTGCGCAGCCCTGCCTTTGGTAGGTCTGTTATACATCTGGATTCCTGGTCAGACTGTGACCAAAGACAAGGGCACATGCTAGACATTGGCCATTGCTGCTCCTCTTAGTGGAATGAAACAGGAACCCACAACTCTGTCCTCAGATTGATTTCCATGTTAGGCTGTGACCTTGGGCTCTCCAGTGTCTTTCCAGAACATTCCTTGAGGAGATAAATGAGTTACAGACCCTGAGATCTTCATGGGGGAGCGTCCTGTTCCTAGCCTCTGGGCACGCAGCTTATCCCTGTCCACAGGCCACAGTCACAGGTGTGGCATCTGCCCAGGCTCTGGAGAAATCCTTTCCCCATGGGTGCTCTGCAGTATTTGGGACACAGTAGAAACACCACACTGTCTGATGCTGGGTGAGGGCCCCAGGTAGACACGCCTTCCTGTGCCAGCTCTCTCTTGATCTGCCCTCTTTCCACCGTCCACTCAACCCAGACATCATCCCCTCCTGCTGTGCCTCAGTGCCTAGGGCCTCACTGCCCCAGACCTGCAGCAGGTGAAGGACTGGTGAAAGTTATCAGCGCATTAGTGGGAATTTCAGACCTTGGTTGGGGTGGTATAAGGTTTCAACCTGACTCTTGCTTGATAAGGGACAGGCTGTAAGGACAGGAGGTGTAGGTTGGCAAGGGTACACATGCCGCTGATGTCAATTTTCTGGGAACTGACAGGAAGCACTTCCACAGCCCTAGTGGCATGCAAAGGAAGGGAAGCAGAAGAACTTAGGGGCAGAGCCTCGGGCCCAAACCCCAGCATTCACTATGCCCAGGAGGCGTTTCTCATTCTGCTCACGGCTCCCTCCTTCAGCTCTAAAACAGGTCTCTAAACGTTGGTCTCTCAACCTCAGGATGTATGGTAGATGCCTCAAGGAGACTCCAAGTAGAAACTGCACATGCCTTGGCCATGGTCATCAAAGGGTCCTGGCACATGTTGTGAACTAGTCTTGCTCCAATGTGACTTTGGGAAAGTTCAACCAGAGACAATGGCAGCATCTTGGCCATAGCCAACTATAGCATCTTCAGGGCCAGAGCCAGCTGTAATGGCATCCAGGCTAGAGTCTACTGCAGCATCTTTAAGGCCAGAGTCAACTGCAGCCATAGCAACCATAGTTGGAGCAAGAAAATAGATGATGAGTGATTGGACTCATAGATGATGCAGTGTCCACAAATCTATACTGAAATAAGATGGGGAACGAGTTCTGCACAGAATCTGTGGAGGTAGACAGGACCCCTCCACTTAGCCGAGTGCAGACTAAGATCTCAAACTGCATCACTTCCAGGCCCGGCCCTTAGCTCCAGCTCCAGGTTCTGCGACAACATGTGCGCTGGGGGAGATGTGACAAGGATGACATGGCACCTCTGTGCTTTCCCCCTAAATATATAACCCCTCTTTTTCTCTGTCCCAGGTGAGGGACATTCTGTAGCCCCCCCCCCCCCTTGCCAGTGTTCTAGGAAGTCAGGATCTGTGACAAGGGATGCTGGTCACAGCTAGGAGAAGTCAAAGTGTGACCACGGGTATAGTGTGATGACCTAGGCGGGTGCTGAGACAGAGAAGATCTCAAGTGAAAGTGGGCAAAACTCAAATAGAGTATAGTTAACAGGATACAGTGGTTCCAGGTCCTGGAGGGGTGGCATCTTCTAGAACCATCTAAAACCATTTCAAAGTAAAACATTGACTTAAAACTGAAAGAAGTCATAGGCCACACCAGAACCTGGGCTTCCCAGTCCTGTACAGGCCCCTTCCACCGGAGGTGTTAGAAACACCCTGGATATGAAACCTTCAAAAAGAGGCATGAGCCTGGACAAAGGAACCTCCATGCCTGTCCTTGGGTGACATTAGGGTCCCGGCGACCTCATCACAGAGATCCAGTGGGAAAGTTGGTTTCCAAGTAGTCAGTGTGCCCACCTCACATAGCATAGTCCTTGCCCTTCTCAGGAGGTGACAGAGATGGTGCCCACTGTGTGGGACTGACATGGGCACACCATGAAAGCCCACAGCAGAGCTCCAGGCACGTCTGTGGGGTTGAGGTCAGCAGGATGTTTTCTCAGCTACACGAGACAGGGAGCATGTTTGCGGAAAAGAGAAAGGCCTGTGGTGGCCTTGGCCTCCTGAGGGTTTTGAAAGCCAGATCCTGAGTCTGAACCAGGAAGGTCTAGACAGTATGGAGCCTGGGAAGGGACTTGCAGGTCAGACAAAGGGCAGGGAAGGCTCAGTGGTAGTGTCCCAGGCAGAGACCAAGGTGGCTGGTATTGAAGGCTACTTTAGTAAATGTGACAGGGTCCTTGTGGAACATCAAGGCTACCACACTGTGCCTCAGCTCCCTTGGTCTTGGCCTCTCTGATCAACTGAGAAACTGTAGCCCCCACATCAGTGAGTGCACCCACATGTAGGAACCTCACTTACCATTTCAGGGAACATTGCACTATATAAAGGTCAAGCTCTGGAGTGGACAGGGATGTTGGAACATTTTAGAATCCTCCGTCAGCTGGGCGAGGGTAACAGAAGTGACCATGAAGTCTAGATAAAAGAAAGAAAGGCCTGGTCATGTGAGGTTCTAGACTCAACAAGGCCAAGCCACAGAGGCTCAGCCCAGGGATGTCAGCCAGTAGGGACAGTCTTCAGCCAGGGTGGATGGCTTACAGTTGTGTTTTCAAAGCCGCCGTGTGTGTCATAACTTAAGTGACATGTGGAGTCATGGCGTCATGCATAAGAGACTGTGGTTCCCATCTTCCTGGGGTGAGACCCCTGCTATTGCCAGGAAGAACAGAAGCTCAGTGGATGCAGCCAGACAGAAGGCTCCATCCAGTTCTGGAACAAAATCTTTGACTTCTCCAAAGCCCCATTGGTGTTTGCAGGTGAATTTAGTGACCATGCTCAGGCAGGAGAAGACGCCCAGAGTAGGAATCACTAGTCTCCTTTGGTGGCCACTTACTGGGACCTCCTGCAGCCAGGCCCTCCCTGCCTGCCTGTGATGCTCCTGCTGTCTCCAGTCTACTTAGACCTGGCTTCTGTCCCATTGGCGTTAGGGTCCAGCTACTTGATCTTGCCATTCAAAGGCATGGTTCTCGCATCTAGAGACCCCTTTCTTAGCCAGGCAATCAGGCACAGCCCTGCAGAGTTTCCCATGTCTAAAGGAAGGGAACGTTTGTGCCATGGGGTGTCCTGCTGTGAGCCGTGCTCCTCATCACGTGTCCAGTGCCACCGTGTTCTATCCATCGCATTCTGCATTGGCGGGAGGTGGGGCATCCACTCAGGTGTCTGATGGGTGATTTGATCATCTGGCCTCCTTCACAAAACAGAAAACATAGCTCCTGCTGAGGCAGAACTTGGAGGCAGCAGAGTACCCTGATGCTCATTTTGCTTGTCAGAAACAGCCTGTATCAAGGACTGTGGAAGTTGATGGATGTTGACTCCCCAGTTTCCTACATGGGCAAAGTATTTGTAAGGGATGCTTTTTGACCCATTTCTACACCTTAGTCCCCTTCTCACAGTTAACTGATGGGATCTCAAAGCAGTCAGGACCTTCCTGCCTAAGCTACATCAGGGAGGCAGGAATTGTGAGCCTGCGTGTGTGTTCACATCCCAGGATCCTGGGCTCTGCCCACCACCCACACATAACACGCGGTTGGCCCTTCAACCACTGCCCCTTTGTCCCTTCCACCTCTTGGGGCCAGGTACACTGCAGATTGGGACAGAAGTCATAGAGCCCATGCTGGAAGACTCAGGTGTGGGCTTCCTTCAGGCAGGAGAGAGGGGGTTCACTGCAGATCAACTCTTTTTGCCTGAAACCGTCTGCTTTGCTTTCTTGCCCCTCACCTGCTGCCTCTGCTCTTCCGTCTGGAGGCAGCGAAAGTGGCCGTAGCACCCCAAGTCTCTCGGTGCTCTCCGACAGCAGGCCTCCTTCCTCTACCTATCAGCAGGCGCCACGCCACTTCCACATCCCAGGTAGGTCCCTGTGTGCTTGTTGGTTCTTCATGCACCATTGTGGCCACACCAAAGTTGTCAGAGCATCCCCAAACACCAAGCTTCCTTAGAAGTTACTCCATGGAGTAGGGTGTAGTGGTGCATACCAGTTGTTCAGCACTGAGAAGGCAGAGGCAGGAGCAGCATAAGTTCAAGGCCAACCTGAACTAGAAAACAAGATTCTGCCTGGTAGTGGTGCATACCTTTAATCTGAGTTCTAGGCAAGCCTGGTCTACAAAACGTGTTCTAGGACAGCCAGGGCTGTTATACAGAGAAATCCTGTCTTGAAAAAATAGCTCAGTGGTTAAGAGCTTTGCCTGCTCTTCCAAAGGTCCTGAGTTCGATTCCCAGCAACCACATAGTGTCTCACAACCATTTGTAATGAGATTTGGTGCCCTCTCCTGGCCTGCAGGCAGACATACAAACAGAATACTGTATACATAATAAATAGATAAATCTTTAGAAAAAATAAGAAAAATGTGGTTACATTTACACAGTGGAGTACTACACAACAGAAAATAATGACAGCTTGAATTTTGCAGAAAAATGGATGGAACTAGAAAATATTATTTTGGATGAGGTAACCCAGACACAGAAAGACAATTATCACAAGTACTCACTCATAGGTGGTTTTTAAACATAAAGCAAAGAAAACCAGCCTACAAACCACAATCCCAGAGAATTTAGACAACAATGTGGACACTAATAGAGACTTATATAGATCTAATCTACATGGGAAGTAGAAAAAGACAAGATCTCCTGAGTAAATTGGGATCATGGGAACTTTGGGGGAGGGTTGAAGGGGAGCAGATAAAAATATAGAAATCAATAAAAATCAATAAAATAAAAAATAATAATCAAAAAAAAGGTTCTGTCCCCAAACAATAAAAAATCCTAATGCAGTGGGTTTGCATGTCCCCTCAAACTGACATGTTTGGGTTTTCTCCAAGTCTCACAAATACTGAGAAAACGTTTTCTGTTCTGGATCAAGGTGGAGAAAAGGGGCTCCCCCAGCACCCCAAGGTTCTTGCTTGCCTCCTTCCCTGTCCACCTCTCTCCTTGTCCCCTTCCCATATGAGGTGGTGTCTAGAGTAGGGGATGCTTGGTGGAGGTGTGGGGCTTCAGCCTAGCCTGCTTTCTGTTTGTGAACTTGGCGGGTGATTCCAGGCTGGGTGAGCCAGAGTGGACAGAAGCCCTAGGGTGGAGAGCATTGCAGCTGCTTCCCTGCTTCCCCTCACGTTCTTTCCTTCTCTTTCCTTCTTCTTCCCAGACACTGGCGTAAAAGATAACATCTATAGGAAGCCCCCTATCTACAAACAGCACGGTACGGTTGGTCTGCCGGGCTCTGCTGCCGTGCTTTGCCTGCATGCCTGTTGCACCCTCTTGCTTCTGAATGCTCCCTTTGCTGTGTCCTGCTCTGAGGCTTGGGGAGGCCCTGCTGGCTGAACGTTAAATGCACGCTCACTAGTAGGGGCCTGGGAGGTCGCTTTTCACTCAAGAGGAGACATGTGGAGAGGCTAATGCATGGCACCTGGAACTGGGGTGCAGCTGCTAGAACTAAGAACCTTTATTTTGTGTTTTTGATGCTACCATGGGGGCCCCAGTCAAGATAGTGAGGAACTGGGGGGCTTCTCACCCATGCCCTGACTCAGGCCTGATCTTTGAAAAATAGTAACTTGGAACCAGCTGCAATTTAGGGAGGCTTTAGGCCCCATCTTTTGGGAATAATATCTGTGACAGAAGAGGATGCCTTGCCCTCAGCTGATAGGGTTCCTTGCATTGTGTAGGAGCTAGAGATGGTTGGTAGCAAGGGTGTCTCTATCCCTCTGACCCCCACATCTTCTCCACATGAACATACCTGGGACAGAAGTGCAAGGAAAAGATTGCTTGGGCCGTGGAGCAGGACTCTAGAAGAGTGAGAACTGGCATTTCTGGGTGAGCGGAGCAGGTCACCTCAGCTCCATGAGCCTCAGTTTCCTCATCTGCAAACTAGACTCCTTTCCCACTGTGTCCTCCACCTCCTCACCGCCATTCCTGCCCCTTTGCCCCCTCATCCCTATGGTGTTGGGTATGAGTTGCTCACAGAACCATGAGGGTGGAGACAGTTCTAAACTGTAAAGGGCTCCGCACAGCGTGGGGACTGTTATGTCATCACTAAGATGCAAGGGAAGAGAGATTCCCGCATGGACAGTTCTTTTTCAGATGTGGCCAAGAAAAGCACCCCCTTCCCATACTAACAAGCAGTAGCCAGCTTATTGGAGGCCTACTGTGTTGGGTTTTATTCCTCAGTGTGGAGAGAGGCCCTGTGCTATGTCTTTCCTTCTCACAGAGGGAAACTGAAGCCCTGGTTTCCAGAATCTGAGCAGAGAGCACACATCTCCCCAAGAGATGGGTGGGGACAGTTAAGACTATGACACCGTTTACCAAGAAGAGAAGTCTAGTCTTAAAAGTGGGGGGAAAGGCCCAACCAAAGAAAGGAACACCCATTAGGTGACCCCTGCAGCACTATGCTGGACAGCCTTGGAGGAGGACCATGGGTTCTTTACCACCCAGAGCCCAGGGAAAAAGATTGATTTATGGGCCTTGATTAACCACTGCTACCTCTGCATCACCACCAGGCACTAAGACTGTGTGGTTAATACCCATGGTCCAGGCAGAGCTGGCCTTGGCACCTCGCCTTAGAAAGTCACTTTATGTAATTGACCAACTGTGTCTGATAGGGTCAGGCTGAGTCAGAGTGTTAGGGTTCAAATCTTTTACCTGAGCCCCTGGGGGAGATCAGGTTCCCAGTTCCCAGGCACCAGCCTTGTAGTCTAGACATAAGACACTGTCTGCAGGCCACTCCAGTGTGAAGAAACCACACAGTTAGTTACCCAAGTCCAGGATTCTGTACGCTGATTTTGTAAAGAAGCAGATCTTGGCATGCACCACCTTGGCCAGGCATTCGGCAATGCAAACTCATGCAGAATGCAGTGAGCTGTGCAAACCGCAAGTGACTAGAGAGCTTTAGCAGTAAGAAGCTCCTTAAAGACCCTTGGGAAATACAGATGTGTAGGGGTGCCTTCGGTTTCCAGTTCATGCACTGAGACCATTGGTATTCATAAGGCCTCCCCACCCCTGATTACAGGTAGGACATTGGATGCATGCCCTGTGCATGCCTACCTGTGTATGTGTGTGTACACGTGTGTGCGCTCGCGCGAGAGCATGATTGCTCACTATTCTACCCCCTCCAAGTGCTTGCTCCATCAAGGCAACTTGACCACAAGCCTTCCCTGAGGAGCTCTGGTGCCTGATCTAGGCATGAGCAGCGGTATTTTAATCCTCACTCCAGCTTGAAACAGCCCCTGCGAGATGACAGTAAATCACAAGACTGTTCCATTAGCTTAAGATCCTATATTTAACACATTGCAAGCAGCCAAGCCTTTCCCCCAGATGCACTGGCTCACAGCGTTCAACTCTGAAGTCACTGGACATGGTCACTGCTGGTTATAGTAGTGTTCTTCTCTGATGCCGGAGTCTCAGTCCTGCTCTGAGAGCCATGAGGATAGCTGGGCCTCTGTGCCCACTGGGTGGAGGTGACACTTGGGGTGGAAGGCAGGATGCTTTTGAGTCCATGAAGCACTCATGACTGTGCAGCTGACTTCTGACCCAATCAGCTGTAGTTGTCTTTTTTTCTTTTTTTTTTTTTTTTTTGCATTTTGGGAACCGACTGTATTTCTATGACAGTTAAGTTTTACTTGCTTAGTGTTTACTGGTTTTAAAGAGGAAGAGAAGAGATGAAAAAAAGTAGGAAGTGATAAAAATGGAGTAAGCAGGGGCAAAAGATAAGGAGCCCCCCCCCCCCCCCCCCCCCCGTCCATACCACCAGGCATCGCAAGGATCAGCTTGTAGTGCCTGTCAGGCAGGAGGAGGACGCACAGGGTCTTGGCAGCTGCTTGAGTCAGAAGCTTCAGGATGTCTGCAGCTCAAGAGAAGCTGTGGACTGTTTGTGTTTCCATGTGAAAGTGGAATCTCTTGCCTGCGAACGCACATACCTGCACATGCGTGTGCACACACATACACTTGCATACACTTGCCTGCACACACATACATACCTGTGTGCACACATATGCCTGTATTCACACATGCCTGTACACACACACACTTATACACACTCACATGCAAACTCACCTACACACACATGCACACCTGTGTGCACACATATACCTGCATTCACACAGCTGCATACATATACACATGCCAGCACACATGTACAGCATCCAACCTTGTCGCCTTGGGGAGGCAGTTATGGGTGAAAATACAGCCGTTCACATCCAGCTTCTTAGCAGAGAGAAATGCTTCCTTCCTCAGGGTTCATTTCCTCAGAAATGGAATTAGGCTTGTGCCTCAGAGCTTTCAGGCAGTTTCTGAAAATGGCAGAGCTGCTTGACAGAAGGGCTCTCCAGAGGCGGTCTCTCGGAGGAAAGAGAACATCCGCCTTTAGACTGTTGAGTTTGTTTTCCTGCTGCTGTGATAAGACAGCCTGACAAAAGTGACGGAAGTAAGAGGGGTTCTTTCCAGCTCCTGGTTCAGAAGTGCCACCCCTCGCAGTAGAGAGGTCACAGTGGCGGGAAGCACCTAGTTACAGCACGTGCACCGCCAGGAAGCAGAGCGTGTTGAAGAACAGTGTTAGCTAGACTCCTCCTTCCTATACGGCTCAGAGAATGGTCACCCACGTTTAGTGTGGGTCTTCCCACTCCAGTTAACGTAATCAACACCACCCTTCCTTCCCCAAAGGGAATATCCCAAAGCTAGCAATTCCTCGTAGATGAGGCTGGAGGTTCACTTCCAAGGTGACTCTGGGTCCTCAGAGGTTGACAGTGTACAGTGACCATTACGACTGTCTAAGACAAATGGTGCTTCCTCAAAGACTTCCTAGACAGTTTGGCTGTCCAGGTCCAGGATGGAACTGCTATTTCACCAGGTTCACATTTGATTTCTAAGCAATCATGAGCCTGGGACAGACATGAGTGAGTGGGGGAGGGGGCCACCCATGTTCTCAGGGTCACCATCCGAGTAGTACCTGTCTATTCCCAGTTCTTTGGTCCCTGGTTGAAGATGGGAATAAGGGCTTGCTGTGACTCTCTGGGGTTTCTTCCCTGGAAGATTGAGTCTCACGTTGGTTTGGGGTTGTCTTCTGAGATATGATGAAAGACCAGGTATCAGGTAGCTCTGTGCCCATAAAGAGCATTAGAAATTTGGTACCCAGTGGGGCATGCCTAGCAGAAGTTCTTGAGGGACATGGGACAGGAATGTAGAAAGTCAGTCATTCCAGAGCACACTTTGACACAGGCCTATGGGCCTCAGAGGAGTTCCTCTGTGTGGTCTGGGGGACACAATGAGCCTCTTTCTCTGGAAGAGGGACACTGGGTGAGAGAGAAGCCAGCAGGCAGAGGTGCCAGCTCTGTAGCTCTTCCTCTGATGCTACTGTCAGTTCTGGTAGCAGTCAGCACACAGATGCCATTCCCTCAACTTCATAGAAAGAAGCCCAGTACCTAGAGATGCCAGAAGCTTTCACTAATTTATCTAAGGTGTGGTTTTTGAGCATCCACTATGTGTCTGGCTCTACTTCAGAGCTGGAGCCATAGGGATGGCGAAACATAGCCTGCCCTGTGAAGCAGAGTCCATAAAATTGCCCTGAGATCATATGATCAAGTACATCCTTGTCCTACGAAGCTGAAAATCTGTGGAGTTGCTCCCAGTGTGTATGCATGCATACACACACACACACACACACACACACACACACACACATGCACACACATGTGAACACGGTCATTCTCTCTGAATATAATTCCAAAGCAATGCAAACTGTACAGGTTGATGCTTGATATGTGTTGGGCAAGGTAAGAGAAGTCTTGCTCATGGGTCCCGTTCTTGGAAATCCAGTCTGGACCTGAGTAGAGAAGCAAGACCCCCATCCCCACCCTTCTGGAACCCTGAGACCTGAGGAGAGACACCAAGCCCCAGAGCCTCTCCCCTCCCCTCCCCGTGTGTACAGAAACACCACCTACTAGTGATAGTACCAACCAGGTGTGACTAGGGCCCAGCCATCAACATGTGTGTGTAGACACTCACCGAACTTGACAGGGATGGTTCTGTACTGATGGCCGACAGAGTTCCAGGAGAGACCAGAGCTGAGACTGTCTGATGGCCATAGACTGCCTCTGGGCACAGTCAATGGCCCCCCAGAAGCCAGAGCTATGGAAGGTGTAGGTGCCACCAAAGGCAAGCTGCTTGGCTCCCACGGAAGCTCTGGGCTGTGTGCATCCATCCGCTTTCTGCGTCCACTGTTGTGTTGGAGGTCAGTATGTGAGACACTCCAGGAGGCGCCAGCCACATCAGATGTGCTGTGACCTTGAGCATCTCCTACGGGTTGCTCAGTGGAAAGGCAGATTTGTGTGCAGGTCCCTGTGAGCAAAGGCAAGGCCCTGTAATGTCTACACCTTGCAGGGAGAATGAAGTCAGTCAGCTGAGGCTGAAAAACATCATGTCTGTTTTGTGTTCATGCTCGGGACGGGGCAGGTGCAGGGGTGAGGCTGAAGGACTAGGTGACAGAGGCCCGATATAATGGGGTCAGGGCAGCGTGGATGAATGTATGCATCAGTGAACAAAGAAATGGAGAAGACAAAGAGGGGTATGCATGGGTGAGTGGGGGTGAATAACTGGAGAGCTGTGGATACAGGAATGGGGGAGTTGGATAGTGGATGCTTGGTGGATAGAAGATAGTTGTAGGTGCATGGCTTAGTGGATGGGTGTGTGGGAGATGGATGGATAAAAAGGTGGGTAGATTAGTGCATGGCGGATGGATGGAGGAATTGATGCTTGGTGGGTATTGATGATAGATGAATAGATAGATGATAGATAGATAGATAGATAGATAGATAGATAGATGAATTTAGATGATAGATAGATAGATAGATAGACGATAGATGGATAGATAGATAGATGATAGATAGATAGATAGATAGATAGATAGATAGATAGATAGATACATACATACATACATACATACATACATACATACCTTAGTGGATGGGTGGGTGAGTGGATGGATAAATTGGATAACTAATGGCTGCCTTAGTGGATAGGTATAGATACGTGAGCAGAAGCATGGGTTAGTGTCTGGGTGGGTAGGTAGGTGAGCAGGTGGGTGGAAGGATAAGAGAGTAGACAGAAGTGAACAGATGGGCAGCCAGAGGGACACATGTGTGTCACATGAGTGTGTTCAGATTTAACTGAATTAGAGGAGGAAAGGAGGGAAGAGCTGCCTTCAGATTACCTTCAGGGTTGACCTCTGGCCTAGTCCTAGCCTTTCAAAGCTGTAAACCAGCCTTTGTATTCTTAGACACCATCTCACCTGATTCTTGTGAATTGGAGAAGGTAGAGTGGCATTTTCCCATTTTACAGATCAGGAAACTGAGGCTCTGAGTTGTTATAGAAGCAACCTACAGACAGTGCAAAATACTTGGTGAATTTGTCTCTGGCCCGACACACTACACATCTGTCACAGCTTGTGGTGTTTACAGAGGACCCTTGTCAAGTCTCCACAGAACATTCTCAGCAAGTGGAGGAGCATTCTGGAGCCCTGCGTAGCACTATGCTGTAGCGTGTTGGCTAGTGTGTTACCCGTGGCTTTATGGAATCTTGAAAGCCCACGGCTGGTTTACTGGGGTGGGATCTCACAACCTGAAGAGCCCCTCGCCTGGAGTCTCTGGCACAGATGGTGGGGGCATAAAAATCAGTTCTTGGAGTGGCCACAGCTTGTTTGTCCCTGTGCCCTTGGCCAGCTGCTGAGAGTCAGTGCTGGTGTGTTAGCCACAATCGATGACAGCCATCCAGTCACAGGAGTCTTGCTGCCCACCCCTCTGCGTCCCTCCATTGACCCTCCCCAGCAGGTCTGTGGTTAATTCTCTCCTGTATGTGGAAAAAGCAGAGGGTTTGTTTTAATCCCCCAAAAAAGGTCTCTCCCTGGAAGAGACAGGCAGCGTGGGTCGGGGAGACACAGAGTCCTGATGTCTAGGATGGAAGTACTCAGTTTACAATTTTGGCCCTATCTTGTCAAGGTCCTGTAGCCCAGTCCCCAATGTCCAAGCTCTCTGACCTGGTGTCAGTTTTGTCCTTGGTGGTGCAGGAGGCAGGGCGCTCCAAGAGACGGGCAGGGCTGAGCCCACCGCAGGCTGCAGGTAAGAAGCCCGCCTGCTCTCCTCCCTGAGCTAAGTAAGCCCTAGCTGGGTAGGACCCCTGGGCTTCCAGCCACTGCTGTGTGCACAGGGTTGGGGTAGGTCTTGGCAGGTCCTGGAACATACTAGCATGCCTTGCATGGTTTCTCTGTTTACTCCTGGGAAAGGGTCAGCCCAGTGGGATGACAGAATGCTGCCCAGAATCTCTTGGCTGTCATGAGGGTGTGAACTCTTGCTCCAAGTGGGCTCATCTCCGGGTGTACTGGTGTTCTTGGCTGTTTCTTGTGGACTCCTCCCAGTGGCAGAGTTCAGGGCTGGGCAGGCAGAAGGTAGCTCAGTGGAACAGGCAGGGGAGACTTCGGACTTTGACTGTCTGAGTTCATGTCACTCTCAGCCCTCTATCCATGCTGGCTCATGACCTCAGAGCAAGTCACCTCCCTGAACCTCAGTCTCTCCATCTGTGAGATGGGCCAAATTCCAGTTTTGAAGAGTTCATGTTGAGAAAGAAGTGGTGATACCCAAGAAGCATGCAGCTGTGGCTGGCACCAAGGGCTCTGAGACTGAGACCTCTGTCCCTTCAGGGTCCCCCTCACAAGGTCAAAAGTATACCTATCAAATCCAAGTGAAAATGTGACTTCGTCTGAAAATGTGACTCCATTTCTCCTGGTTGGAGGTGTGGCTGGTGCTGCGAAGAGGTGTCACTTTGCTCGGGACATGCTCACCTTCTGGGCCCTGTCCCTGAGGAGGTAGCTCTAGTGCATCCTGGTCCGAGAAAGGTGTTCATTCTGTTGTCCTTTTCCTTGGCTTTCTTTGACTTTGGAGCATGATGTAAAGCAGGGCCCCCAGGACATGGCGAGCTGCCTTTACAAACGGATTTTTCCCTTCCAGCCACCAGGCGATTGGAGGTGGAGGACGGCACTTTTGATCAGGACAGCAGGAAGGTAATGCGGTGGGCCACGCTCCTGCAGGGTGGAGCTCCAGTCCTCTTTCTCCGCCCCTGAGGTCCTGGGAGGCCCACGGTGGGAGCCACCCCCACCTGCCTCCTCCTGCACTCGATATGAGCACACTCTCTGCTAGTGTCCTGGCTCTGCCGTGCAGCCAGGTCATGGCTGTGACTGAGGAAACAAACCCAGTACACTCTGAGGTACTTGACATGAAGGTTCTAGAACAGCTTGGTGGGTGCTTTTTATAAATGGCCAGAGAGTAGAAGGTAGGAGACCTTACTGATATACTCCTTTGATGTGGTCATGCTGTGAAAACGGCCAGAGAGGACGTGAGGGCAGGGGCATCACAGCAGCAGGCTGTGGGCAGCATTTGGCCATTTCTCCAGCTGCTTGACAAACTTGCAGAGTGTATGAGCGAGACACCCTTAATAGCAAGGCTGGTATTAAAAGCAGCGGGGGTCAGCTTGTGAGGCAGATGTACAGAAGCTACTAGAAGGTTCTGGTGAGGTATGTTCACCATGGCAGATGACTTCAGTGTTCCCATAACCTTCTGTTCCTCTGCAGAAGACTACCTGGCTGCTCCTCAAAGGGGATGCAGACACCAGAACAAATTCTCCAGACCTGGACAGCCAATCTCTGTCCCTCAGCAGCGGGGCTGAGCGGGAGCCTCTGCCGAGGATGCCTGGGGACGGCCTCTACTCACGTGAGTGGCTCCTCTGATGTGCACTGGACACTGCCAGCCAAGGGCCCCTACTGAGTGGGCCCCCAAATCTCAGCTTTCCTCCCTGAAAACACTGAAACCAAGAGAAGGCACGTAATCCCAGCATTTGGAAGAATGGGGCAGAAGGATTGCTGTGAGTTTGAGACAGGTCTGAGTTGCATAGGGGGGCTCTGTCTCAAAAAATAAAAATTAAAAGCAAAATCAGCCAAAGAGCAATCAAATGTGAATCAAGCCAGCTAAAGAAAGGTCTGAGCCCTGGCCTCACCCACCACCTCTGCAGTGACGCAGCTAACTAGTGTGCTCACAGTGCCCCCTCGTGGCTTTCTCCGAGCTGGCAAGAAAGCAAAGAGAACAGCACTCAGAGCCTCTTTCCCTGGGTGGGTGGGTGGGTGGGTGGGGGCTGATGTGGTCATGGTCAGGGGGCGAGACCAGACCTGGAACTGGTACAAGGCACTGTCCTGGTCCCTATGACATCCTGAGCAAGGCACTTGGAGATTCTAGGAGATATGGCCTGACATCACAGGCAACAGCTGATGTCTGCCTAGCCTTGGGGGTGTTGTGAAGTCTGGCTTGGGGGTGATTCTCAAGAATGGAGTAATTGCCCATTGCATTGTTCACTGGAGATGCTGTAGGTCACAGGCAGAGCCAGCACAGGATTGCAGGCGGACTCAGGTTCTCCCAGAAGCAGTTTCTGGTATCTGCTGAGTGGGGTGGGGGGTGGGGGTGGAGGTGGCTTGTTTTCTGTGCCTATGGTTGGAAATGGAGGTCATGAGAATCTCCGTGGTGTGAAAAAGCAGAACAAGCACCTGGCGTCATGGTGGCACCAGCTGAGTGTAATCTGGGCTCTCTGATGACTGTGATAGAGACCAGAGCAGCAATGCTGACTCATTGGGCCCTGGGCGTGCAAGAGGGCTTTGGTTGGCCATCAGTGAACAGTCGGGCTGTCCCCACCCACCTTCCCTCCTGACCATGGATGGCACTCTCTGACCACTGCATACGGGAGGTGCCCTGCAGCAGAGAGAGGAGTGGAGATGCAGTCAGCTGGACACTGTGACTAATCGGCAATGGGACTGTTGTTCCGTGTGCGGCCTGTGTAAGCAGATGAGGTCCCTCAGGATCTCAGACCGTGCACACAGGCTGATGTGAACATGGGAGGGTCCCATAGGTCTGGGTCCTTCTGTAGGTTCTCTTAGGGGAAGAGCTAGCTGAAGGCATGATGAGAGGAGGTGGAAATCCCACGTGCCTGCCCGGGCCTACTGGGGTGGCCACATACCCTCTCTTAGCCCTCTGTCCCAAGAGTCCCTGCCCCAGATGCTGTCCTCCTGTGGCTGTGCACGAATGCTTTGTGGTACTTGAGTAGTGGAGGCCCCTCCACAGAGCAGGGCATAGGGCTGCCCTTAGCTCTCACTGCCCCATGTGGTGTCTTGGCATCTAGGCATTAGCTGGGGGCCAAAAATTTATGTTGGTATTTCAGGATGGTGCTTTTCAGTTTCTGGTCTTTGCTCTGTTAGGGAAGTGCCCTGTTCCATTCCCACGACCTCACCCAGACTCTCCCTGTGTTGGCCAGCCTGTGCCCTCAGCAGTTCCCACTGGAATGTATGGACTGCCTGTGGCTCAGACTGAGGGAGCAGGGATGCAATGTGGGAAGATGCCCAGCTACAGATCCTCTCGGGGTCCCGCTTCTGCTCTCACTATGCTGTGTGGCCTGTGCATGTGCCCTTCACCCCTTGTAGTACTTTCTCATCTGCAGATGCCAGAATGAGAATGTTCATCCCGGGCACTTTTGAGTGGGGTTGTCTCTGTGAGGCAGGCTGTTCCAGGTGTCTTCAATGGTCACTCCCACAGTGACAAGGACTTGCCTGCCATCCCATTCCTCTGCTGCATCCCTGCAGCAAGCCAACACGAATGGTGTGGACAGGAAGTAGGTGTTATGTGGGTGCACCTGGCCTGTGGGAACCCAGCCATCTGTGCTTGGTCCCATGCCACCTGTTATGTGCCAACAGCCATGACTATATCCTCCTGCCTCTGCTTCCCCCTGATGTCCTGACTTCAGATTTCTTGAGCAGGAAGCCCACAGGGTCTAGCATTGCACCTGTGCCTTTACCTCCATCCCAGCGGTGCTGTACAGTCCCACAGGGCAGCAGTTCTCTGCCAGGCTTTTCTGCCCTATCAACGGGCATGTGTTTTATTAGAGATGTGCTTGCATTCCTTCTGTATCCTATGCGGGAACTTCCTGGCTCTGTGCAAGGGCTCATTAATGTCTTCTGTCTGCACAAAGGGGGACAAGGTTGGCTTTTCTCATAAGAAGAGGGATTGAAGGCCTTACAGAGAGACTCTAAGCCCCCAGTCTCCTCCGTAGCTTGTACCCTGTGGACACATGTCCTCTGGGTCCCACCTTCATGACCTTTCTTGTCCTATCCTCTTTTTTGTGGTCTCTTACACACAGATGTGAATACAAATGTGCACACACAGACACAGGCATGATAGTGGTTTAATTCAAGTACCTGGGCTGTAGAAGACACTGCCAGAGGGTTTCTGTGGTCCCTAGCAAGGCCCCAAAGTTTCCAGAGAGTAAACCCTTCTTTTACATCACCAAGTTGAGAGGAAGTGGGAGGAGTAGGTTTGGGATGGCATGGGCCTTGGGGCTTGGAGACAAATGAGTCTCTTTGACTTAGCATCCAGGAAGTACAGGGAAGACCTCAGCAGAGGCCACTTCACCCCAGACTGGCCTGTGCCTTCACCGTTGCCGTCACCTCTGTGCCCTCCAACATGAGGCCCCTGTAGAGCGTGGAATGATGAAATGTTCTAGTCTCTGCTTCTTAGCTCACTGTCCTCCCTCTCAACCAGTCAGCAGCAGCCAGCTACAGGACAGGATTCTGTGACTCTCTTCTTCTCAGGAGGGAGGGAGGGAGGGAGGGATGGAGGGAGGGAGGAAGAGAGAGTGGGTGGGCCAGATTTTCTCTCATCCCTTTGACCCCCGCAGAGTTCTCGGTGAGAAAGCTGCCCCGAAGTCCCTTGCCTGTGGTACGCAGAGCAGGCTCCTTATGACCTGTCAGTCTCCTTGGAGTACTGAGGGGGACGGCCAAGTGCCTGGTGGTAGAGCTGTGACTGACACCCCTAGGCAGCAGAGTCCACAGATATCAAAACTGGAAGATCTTTGGCATTTCCAGTGCCAAATCAGGGTCCAGGTGGGCAGGTAAGTAGTCCAGGCACGGAGCACACAGACCTTGGATACTTTCTATGTCCCAGCCCTGTTCTAGGTGCAGAACCAGAGCAGGGCCTGAAACAGAAAAGGCCTCCTGTCCTGTGGCACTGCAGTGAGGTGGGGCGAGTCAGATGGCATATGCAAGCCGACTGCTAGGGCATGCTGGGAAATGTGTCATGGGAATATAGGAAGTCCTTGGGGAGGAGGCCACTGTCCAGCAGGCCTCAAGATGTGGTCCTGAAAGCAATGAATGCTTGGGAAGGGATGATCCAGCTGAGGGTAGAGGCAGAGCTAGCAAACCGTTTGACCATGTCATTGCTACCAGCCCCCACCCCACCCTGTGCAATGACAGCCCCAGAGGACTTTAGCTTTCTCCCTTGAGCTAGGACCTAGATGGATGGAAGGTGATGGCTGCCAGCATCTGCATTAGCGAGGTATCTGGGCAATGCATAGCATATGTGAAGGTTTGGAGATTGACTTCTGCAGAGCTCTAGGAAGGCAGACACAATGGTATAGTGTGAGAGGGACTAGCCAGACACAAGATGGGAGTAGGCATGGCTTTCAGGAAAGAACTGAAGGCAACTAATACGTCCAGGAAACCCCAAGAGGAATGGACACAGAGCCCTGAACCTGTATCTGGGCTCAGCGGGTAGAGCCCTAGCAAGGCACACTTGAGTGACCTTGGGTCCCTGGCAAGCCTCCATGGTATGAAATTTCCTTATATGTAACAACAAGAATGATCTGGGGACCTGCAGGATGAGGGGCTGGCACCTGGGCGTGCAGTCCTGTGAGGACGTCCAGGTGGAACACTCAGACTCACATGCCAGGCTGCAGCGAGCCTGCAGCTGCCAGCTCAAGCCTTTTCCACCAGCGTCTGCTTCTACAGCCTAAATCGCACGTGCTCAGAGCCATTGAGTGCTGCTGTCCAGAGCTGAGAGGAGCTACCCTGCACAGAGCAGGCAATGACAGTCATGTGCTGGACCCCAACAAAGGCATGGTGGCCTTCTGTGGCTTGCTGGTCAGTTGTCAGAAGAATGTTCTCTGGTGTTGTGAGTTCCCACTGCACCAGGAACACACCCTATCGCTCTCAGTCATGTCTTGAGTCTTCAGTGGTTTCCTAACCTCTTATGAGCCACTCTGGAGGAGGACAGAGCCAAGAACAGAGCCAGCTTCAAGAGCAGTCAGCAGCATGCTTTATAGTGGCTGTGGGTGGCCTGAGAGCTGGTGTAGGAGTGCGTGGTTAGGCTAAGCCTGGGCCTAGCCCAGGAGTTAGCAGGGTGTCCAGTGCCTAAAGGGCCTGATATAACCTAGGATCATGAGCACACAGCTGGGAACTTATTCGGGGTCCTCTGTCCTCTGTACCTGTCCCTTCTTGTGCACACCCACTTCTCAGTCATATCCACATTTGGCCACACACTCTTGAAGGCTTCTGACCATATCAGATATGCAGGTCTATAAAAGGCCTGCTAGGGTCATTTGATCTTTATACAGGTCACTTGATCTGCCTAGGCCCCAGCTCCCTTGTGTCCAAGGCACAGAGGCCCTTGAGCACAGAGATGACACTCTGAATATGTGAAGGGATTTTAAATACAAAATTTATCTGTTCTGTTGTACATGGGACTCTGGGACCTTTAAAAATCACACAATAGCCAATCCCTCCCTCAGAGAGATTGAATGTGGCAAGACCTAGATAGCACCTCAGAGAACAGGAACACCGACAGTAGACACGCCTGTCTAGCTTTCGCTGCTAAGTATACCTGAAAGAAGGGGACTACAG